GATGATACCAGCATCTCTGCCTTCTCATCCACCTTGCTGAACCCCATCAAATTAGCTGTGACCCAGCCCAACAGCAGCTTCTTTGCAGGGATGCTGGAGGGGGAGCTGAACAAACTCAGCTTCTCCCCGATGGCCAAGAATACAGAAAAGGAGGACCTGGCCCTCGGCCCCTGCCCATGCCCATCTAAGTGCCAAATGGCCACGAGGGGCCTGCTGGACCTTGACAACCCTGAGCTGGAGACAGAAACCTCCTCAACGCACTCGGAATCTTCTGTGGTTGTGGACCTGCCGGACACCCCCTTCATCTTCGAGCACACTGTCAGCAATTCCACAGCTGTGGTGCGTTTCCCTTGCTCATGCGTTCAGCAGAGGCTTATTGTGCCAGGCACTGAGCTGAGCTCCATAGGTAGTGAGAAGGTGCCTGCCACCTGCATCTCGACCTCAAGTTCATGGTTTAGGAAGGGAGAGGACGTGTATGTAAAAACTCCAGTGCAAGACAGAAAGCGTTCAGTGCTGTAGGAAAAGTTCAGGCGAAGTGCCACTAGGATTTCAGAGGAAAGATATATTACTTCCAGATGCAGAAATAAGCCTGGTGGCTTTTGGTAACATCTGAACTGGGAAGCAGAGGTAGCATGTAAACATCTAGAGGTGGAGGAGGGAAAGCATTCCCTGGAGGGGCGGACCCTAGCAAAAGCTCCTAGGAAAGTATGGGAGGAAATCTCAATTTGAACAAGATGGCAGGTGATCTGTAGGAATAGGAAAGCATGAGAAGCCCTGGATGAGGACCTGGTTCAAGTGAGGCTCCTCGGGATTCCTAGGCCTCCTCCCTAGAGGGTCTGGGGTGAAGCCTGATAATTTGCATTAGTAACAGATTCGCAGAGGATGCTGGTGCTGCCAGTCCGCAGGCCACACGCCGAACAACACCGTCCTACACTATGGGAAGTGAAGACAGGGGTCAGGACGGGGAATGTTAGTCTGGGGTCATCTTCCAGAGTACTCCATTGTTAGGATACTGTATAGATTTTTCTGTAACTAACAGGGAACAGCTTTGTACAAAGCTTCACATCAGATGATGAAAGCAATTCGAGCTGTATCTTGGGAAGATGCCTGGAATTCCACTGTTGGATGGCCCAGAGCAGTGTTTCTCAAAGGGCTCTCCAGATGGACAGTGTCAGCATCGCTCAGCAAATTGTTAGAAATTTAAATTCTCGTCTCCCTCCATCACATTTGGGCCTCCTGACTCAGAAACTTTTGGGGCGGAGGCCAGCAATCTATCTTTTAATAAGTCCTCCAAGGTATTCTAATGCACACCAAGTTTGACAACCACTGGCTTCGATGGAGGAGAAACCAGACAGGAGGCAGCAGGCCCAGAAATCTGCAGTTACAAAACCTCCCTGAGATGCTTAACCAGGCTTAGCAACCATTGTAGTACAAAGTGTATGGGCTCTGGAGCTATGGGTTTGAACCCTGGCTGTCACTTAATTGCTGTGTGATGATGGACCAGTCACTTGCCCTCTCTGGACCTAGTTGTTAAGAAGATTTCTAAGGTCCTTCTCAGCTGACAGAGTCTAGAACAGGGGTTCCCAACCTTTTTGGCACCAGGGACTGGTTTCATGGAAGATCATTTTTCCATGGATCAGGTTGGGGGGATGGTTTCAGGATGATTCAGCATATTACATTTATTGTGTATTTTATTTCTATTATTATTACATTGTAATATATAATGAAATAATTATACAACTCACCATAATGTAGAAACTGTGGGAGCCCTGAGCTTGTTTTCCTGCAACAAGAGGGTCCCATTTGGGGGTGATGGGAGACAGTCACAGATCATCAGGTATTAGATTCTCATGAGGAGCATTCAGCTTAGATCCCTCCCATACAATTCACAATAGGTTCACTCGCCTGTGAGAATCTAATGCCGCTGCTGATCTGACAGGAGGCGGAGCTCAGGTGGTACTGTGAGCCGTGGGAAGCAGCTGTAAATGTAGATGAAGCTTCGCTTGCTCGCCCACCGATCTCCTCCTGCTGTGCTATCCAGTTCTGCACAGAATATCTGCTATCAGTCCATGACCCAAGGGTTGGGAACCCCGGTGTAGAAGAAATATGGAACGAGGGTGCACCCTAAAGTGGGCGGGGCTGCCCAGGAGAGTAGCACATGCTGTGGGGCAGGGCTTCCACACTCAGTGCTGCAGTACCTCGCACCTTCCATCTGACCTGCCTGGGTCGCAGCAGGAGCAGGGGATGGGCGTGGGACATCCTGACCCCAGTTGGGAGGGTGAGGGGACAGGAAGGACAGGACAGATATGAGGAAGCCTTGGGGCTCTCTCTTACCCTAGATTTCCTGGACCTACGCCTTGGGCAAGCAGCCGGTCAGTTTCTACCAGGTCCTGTTGCAGGAGGCGGCCGAGACACAGGAGAATGAGTTGCCCAAGGCAAAGAATCGTCCATGGATCTTCAACAAGATCTTGGGCACCACTGTCAAGCTGATGGAGCTGAAGCCTAATACATGTTACTGCCTCACTGTCCGTGCAGCCAACACAGCTGGGGTGGGGAAGTGGTGCAAGCCCTACAAAGTGAGCCCTGGGAAAAGAGGGGTCTTGGGGGTGGAGAGAAGTCCCAAACCAGGGAACCAGGGCTTTGGAGGTTGGGAACACCCCTATACCCACATGTCTCATCTGGCTAGCTTTCCTTCCGCCTGGGTCAAGAAGCATCAATTCCAGGATGCATGCTTCTGGAAGGTTTACGGATTAAGCCACTCTGGGGCCCACTAGGAATGCATTTTTCAACATCGTATTTTTCAACGAACGTATTTTTCAACATCACTATAATGTTCCCCTTCCAAAGCCATTGGTTTTTAGACTCTGCAACTCAGTGCCAATAATTGTGAGTAGGCTGGGAAGTCAACGGCATTGAAAGAAACAGGCAAGACAAGAGGCTAAAGGGGGATGAAGAAGGGAACAGCCGGGTATGGGTAGGGGTACAGGGGTGTAGAGGCCTGAGTAGAGACAGCCCTTTGGTTGGAAACATCCCATAACTGAGGAGGCACAGGCTTGAGTCATGCATCTTTGTACCTGTTTCCTGCACCAATGGCTAGGTTGGATAAGGCTGTTTAAAACAGGTCTGAGTTAGCAGACAGAAAAAAAAGGAGGTAATAGAGAGCCAGGCTCAGATCTCGGAAGGAATTCTGAAGGGTTTTCTTGTTTCACTTCAGTTTGCAACCCTGGCCACTGACTTCAGCAGCTTTCCTGAGAACAACCCCATCCAGATCACCGTGCGGCGCAAGGAACCCCAGCGAAAGATCGTGTCCATCGGGCTGGAGGAGATGCGGAGGCTGGAGGATCTGGAATACCTATTTCCCTATTAACAGGGAGGGCCCCAGGACACCCCTCACCAACTTTCAGCTTTGGCCCCGGGCCCTTAGGAACCAGAACTGTGAGACTTACCGTACCACCAGCACCATGCAGGCCCGAGGGCCTGGCAGAGTGGTATGGGAACCCCACCCCTGGGCTGGGGCCAAGGCTAGATAGATAGGGGCCCCATTCACCCGGAGACATCCCAGGCCAGGCCATGCTAGGCTCAGCCACTGCCCACAGCTGCTAGACTCCGTCCTCCCACAAATCTGGGCTGGGTCCAGGTCCCTCATTAAAGAACTGCAGGCCATCTAGCACCCTAAAATCTGCTTTATGCTGCAGACAGCCTCAGATGGGCTGTCACCCACCTCTTAGCTTCCACCAGGACGGACTCTACATGAGTAGGGAGATGGAAAACAGGCAGCTAGGCAATAGGATGCTGCCATCACCCCTTCCCCAGTGGGGCGGGGGACAGGGGCAGGGAGACTGGTGCTGTAAGACTAAAAGCCTCTTACACCAGAAAAACACAGAAATAGCTGTCATGGACAGAAGTGGTGGCCCATGAGCTGTCAAACTAGCTTGAGCTCTGGAGGAAGGGATGTGGTACAAAGTGCACAATAAGCTTTGGGGAAGGGTCTGGTTTAATCCCAGCTCTTCCTCTTACTGGATGTGGGGGCGCGGGCTAATCATTTAAGCTTCTTGTGGTGTTTCCTCATCAAAAGTTTGGGGGCTTGAGAACTTTCCAGGCCTGGTACAGTCTGAGGGCACAGCAGACAAGCACCTGACACCAAGGAGCTCAGTGGCTGATAGCTTTGTTCGCTTCTCATGTAGCCTCACTGCAGAGATGTGCAAGGTGGAGGCCAAGCACCGCAGCTAGGTGACGCGCAAAACCCAAAAGCACGAAGGGTGGAGGAGGGTAAGAAGGAGCCATATGCTAGTTCTGAGCAGTTTATACAAGGATGGTTTGGAAATCCAATCTGAGTAGTTCATACCATGACCCAGCTTAGCATGGGATGCAGGAGAAAGCGGAGGCAGGGTGCATGCAGGGCAAGATCTCGGCCTGCGGTCTGAGTCCTGATGGGAATTCCTTTCATTACTTGAAAGTTCTCATGTGGCAGACAACTATCCTCTGTTATCAACCATACCCACTTGGGCTCAGAGCTTACTGCTGCCTCCCCATCTGAGGGAATCCTCTGGAAGAACCATCACCTTCCCCGCTCTATCCTGAGGGCCCAGGGAAGTGCTTGGTGCCTGGCAGGGCCTCAGGCAGTGTGCTACGGGAAGGCAGAGGTGTCCCCTAGAGCAGGGCTGGCCAGCAGAACCCTCTGAATGACGAAAACCTTTCTGTGCGCTGTCCAATACTGGAGGCCTTACCCCGTGTGGCAGAGGAACTGCACTTCTATTTCATGCTAGCAGCCACATATGGCCGGTGCCTACTGCAGTGGACAACAATACAGCCCTAGATTCTCCTTGGCCACTATCACGACTGGCCTCTCTCTTACCGACACGGGGGAAGACGGGGAAGGCAAGTGCCTGGTCAGTGTGGTTTTGGTGTAGTCCAGTGCAAGGGAGGGGGCTGGACAATCTGATTTAGCACAGTCCTTGATTGAGTTCTGGGGATTCTAGGACAAGGAATTAGAACCCAACACACAAAACATAAGTTATTTATTTGGTCATAGAACCTGGGGTCTGACCCTGTACAGAGTTGACACTAGCGGCCCACTCACAGAGCCTGGCCGCCCACCACCCCCGTCTGTACCAGTAAGGTATAGAGTAGCAGACACAGGCCAAGTTCGGTGACAACTTCCTGTGACCTTCGATTTCTGGCTCTGGGGTGTGCCACAAGCAGGGGATCTGTGGGAAGACCCCACTCGGGTCTGTCGAGGACAGCAGGCCACGCGCATTCTCAGGTCCCCACTGGTGGGAAGGGTGTGTGCGCTGCCACCCGAGTCTTTGTTCTCTGGCAGGAAAGGCGGCTGGCAGAGGCCGAGTCCAGGTGGGGGTCAGAGAGAACTGCAGGCCTTCTCATCTCCTCCATCTGTGGAGAAGGGAAGGGTGTCAGGATGGAGATGCCACCTCAGGAAAGGGAGGCTGTCATATAATCCCAGTGTCAACTGACGGACGGCCTGTGGTCCACCCTCAGAGTCACCAAGAGCCAGGCGACCGTCTCTGCTCTGGCTACCCAAACTCAGGCTGCCCACCCGCTGTCTGCTGCCGCCAGGACCTCTACCCAGAGCCTGGCCCCTGGGATGCCCACCACCAAATAGTCACAATCCCTTATAAGCACACGACACTTTAGCTTCCAGAGTGCTTACCCTCCTATTTTTGATCCTGTCTACGATGGTTTGATAATTCCCAAGAGACTGATTAACCAAGTTCTCTGTAATTACTCATTGGCAGAACTAGGATTTGAACTCGTGTCTTGGGACTCTGAAGTCCAGTGACAGAAAGACCTGGACGCGTCCTCTAAGAGGGTATCCTATTGCCTCTGTTATTCCGGTTGCCCTCCCACCTGCCCACTGAGAACCTGGCTCCACACACCTCCTCAGGACAGTCTGAGCACCTGGAGGACCCTGTGGAATTCTATGCCATAAGGGAAAGTGTGCAAAGAGGGACTGGCTTAGGGTCAGGAGGGCCAAGCACGCCAACCACCACCTCCCCAACACTCACATCCGGAGGCATTTGTCCTTCCCACCACTTGCCACTCTCTGGCCATCTGGACTCCAGTCAACAGCATATACCTAAAGGGAGGCAGAGGAGGGAGGCAGAGGAGGAAGGCAGGTGAGGTGGTGAGAGGGAGACAGCCAGGCTCCAATCCCAATCCCGCCTCTGCCCGAGGGTTGACCCTACCTCATCTGCGTGGCCGGGCAGGTCCATGGCCAGCTTCTGGGCCTTCACATCCCACACCTTCAGTGTGCTGTCACTGCTGCCGCTGACCAGGAGCCGGCTGTCAGCTGACCATGCAATCTGGTACACGGCAGCCACGTGGCCGCGTAGGGAACCCAGGTACCTGGTCCAGAAGACAATGATGGATCTTAGTCTGAGTTAGATCTTCCAACACGTCTGAAGGGTCCCCTATGCTCATGGTCATGGTTCTCAACCTTGGCTGTTTGTTAGAAATACCTGGGAACTTTTACAAAATCATACTGCCTGGTCCCCATCCGAGGCCATTTTAATCATTACCAGTCATTACAATTTGTAAAACTTCTGCAAATGAGTAGCTTCTAGCATGCCTCTTGCTTGCCCTCCATACCTGCACAACTTTGCATGCCTTAGACTCCAACGTGGCCATCTGCTTAGCCCATCTGCCTGACATCCCCCCAAGCAGCAGGTGCCTGCTGACAGGTGGCATGGAGTAACAGTGGGCCAGGCCGACCTGAACTTTCACATCAACACAGTCGAGCTGTTTCTCTTTGGACAAACCATCAGGCCTCTCTGAGACTCAGTTTCCTTATTTTAAAAAGGAACCCAATTACCTACGTTAAAGGGTTGCTGTGTGAAAACACAGTGACTGATGCAGAGGTCCCCCTTCAACCCCAACAAGGTATTCCTGGCTCTTTTTCTCCCCTTGCCTCTGCCTTTGCCTCTCCTCTGATCCGATTAACCCCAAGGGCATTGTGCCTCATCACACCAAGGGTTCCCACACTAGAATGCGTAGCAGAGTCACCTGGTAACTTTATTAAAATGAAGAATCAGATCCACAGGGTCTGAGTGGGGGCCAGGACTCTGCATTTCTATCAAGCTCCCATGTGATGCTGATGCCACTGGTCTGTGGCCCACACTTTGAGGAGGTCCAAGTAACATTTGTACCACAAGCCTACCTACCACCACTTCACCTTCTCCAGGGCTACAGCCCTACCACTTCAGCTAGCTCTAAGATCACTTCTCTCCTAAGACATAAACTAGCTTTTTCTTGAGACAGAGTCTCACTCTGTTGCCCAGGCTGGAGTGCAGTGGTGTGATCTCGGCTCACTGCAACCTCCGTGTCCCAGGTTCAAACGATTCTCCTGCCTCAGCCTCAGGGGTAGCTGGGATTATAGGAATGTACCACCACGCCTGGTTAATTTTTGTATTTTGGTAGAGACAGGGTTTTGCCATGTTGGTCAGCCTGGTCTCAAACTCCTGAACTCAGGTGATCCGCCTGCCTCGGCCTCCCAAAGTCCTGGGATTACAAGCATGAGCCACCGCACCTGGCCTGAACTAGCATTTTTAGTGACCATTTAGTGTGGGTCCTAAACATACTGTCTCATTAAATCCTTGTAACTAGGCCAGGCGTGGTGGCTTACACCTATAATCCCAGCACTTTGGGAGGCCAAAGCATTTGGATCACTTGAGCCCAGGAGTTCAAGACCAGCCTGGTCAACATGGTGAAACCCCGTCTCAACTAAAAATACAAAAATTAGCCAGGCACGGTGGCAGAGGCCTGTAATCCCAGCTACTTGGGAGGCTGAGGCAGGAGAATCACTTGAACCCAGGAAGCAGAGGTTGTAATGAGCCAAGATCGTGCCACTGCACTCCAGCCACTTGAACACCAGGCGAGAGTGAAACTCATCTCTAAAACAAACAAACAAACCCTTGTAACAAAGCTGAGAGGTAGGGGGTCTGCATATTACCAAAGAGGAAACAGTGGCTTAGAAAATCCAAATACCTGCCAAGGCCACATAGCTAGTAAGTGGCAGTGCCAAGCCACTCCCACTATTCACTCCTTACAGAGGGGCAGTACCCACCCCCACTCACTTGCCCGTCCTGCCATCCCACAGCTTGATGGACTTGTCGAAGGAGGCACTAGCCACGATGCGGGAGTCAGGAGAGAAGAGCACCTGGTTGATGAGAGCTTGGTGTCCTGTCATCCGAGTGAGAGGCTTTTTGTCCTCTGCTGGGGACCACAGGAATAAGGTGAAGTCATCTGAGCCAGACACCAGCCTCTCTGGACCGTGGCCCTAGGGGAGGCAGAAAGCACACTGTGTTGGGTGTGGTCTCAGAAAGAAGGAGGGCCCGACTTTGGCAGCAAACATACATCCTGATTACTCAATGCCAGGGACAGAGAGAGGCCAGCACTAGAAGCAATGAGGACTGGGTTGGCCACTCACTCACACGTGATCCCAGGCAAGTCACTTCATCCAAAAGGCAAAAGAAACTCTACGTGCATGTAGAAAAATATTTTTAAGATACACAATTACAGAAAAAGCAAGGCACAAAATAATGTGTTAAAAGGAGTCGGATTTTATGTATGTACGTATGTGTGTGTGCTTATACATACATACTGTATATAGACATGTGTATGTGTGTATATTAAATCTCTGGAAGGTGATTCAGGATATTGGTAGCACTGGATGCTACAATAGAGATGGGAGACTCCGTGATCCACCTTTTTGTATTTTTTGAACGTGAATGTGTAAACAATCTTAAATAAAACAATAAACTAAAATAAAAAAGAAGCATGTCGGAAATATAATAAATAGGTAAGCAAATAAACTAAACAAAAAATGAAATAAAATGATCTCTAGCACATTAATATTTTAGGACTGCAAACTAGGATTATGAAGAACAACTTTTTGGAACAGGTACATCTGAGCTGGGTCTAAAAGGGAGAAGGGTCTGAGAGGGTTTTAGTGATTGGCTAAGGACTGGCAGAGCTGGGGGTGCATGTGGCTGGCACACACTCACCCGCACGAGGTTGTATCGGCTCAGAGCCCTCTCCTTCAACTCCTGCACTGTGTCCAGGTACCAGAGGGGAGAAGAGGAGATGAGGAAGAAGGCTGATTAGAAAATCTGATACAAAGAGCAAACACTCCCCATTAAGCTAGAGAACTGGCTCCTTCCCAAGCAGCCCCAGCTCTTCCTTCTCCCAATCACTCACAGGATCCTTGGAGGTCTTGGGCATTAACTGAGGCCTCAGCAGGTTCAAAGGCCCCGGTGCGCAGGGCATAGTCAGTGCTGAGGGCCATGGTGTTCACCCAGTGGCCGTGGCCTTGCAGAGTCCGGCACAGCACACCCTAGGGCAGAGCGAGTCAGGTCAGACACACACACTCCTCCCCATCCCTGGGAGATTAGCCCCAGGAGATGGGTGGTACAGGACTAAGAATCATCTTCACTCATGCATTGTGATCTTAATCAAACCACCCCTCTGGGGTCAAGTCTGTCCCCACTTGTAAAATGGAGTCCAGATCATGAAAATGTTTCACGGAAGAGAAGAGGAGTTAGGTATGGCAGAGTAAACAGCTCCAGTCCAATACGTTTGGGATATGGTAGATCTGACAAAGCTCAACAGGTGTCCTACAGGAGGAATTTCCGGAGTGTGACGATCTCATGGGGACTCTGCAATCTCCACTATGATGCAGCACCAACCACAGAACTCCTCATTCCCAAAACACCTTCCTTGACCAGGGCTGCCAGCACACATCTGGGAAACACTGAACTCGCAGATGTCAAGGTTGTTCTGAGTGCCAGCATCTTGTGACGTGAGATTTTCTGGACTGGTTACTGAACCCTCCCAGTGCTTACGTCATGAGCCCTCCAGACTTTGATGGTGCGGTCCTGGGAGGCAGAGTAGAGAAGCCCGTCCCCTCCCCACCGGAGACAGGTGACTGACTGGGTGTGCCCGGTGAGGATGCGCTCACAGCGGCCTGCAGTTGTGTCCCAGATCCGCACACTGCCATCCTTGGAGCTGCTGGCCACATAGCGGCACTCAGGGTTCCTGCAGAGAAGGGAGATGTGACCTCATCTGTGACCTGGCAACATCTGTCTGCCCATGGCACCTCCCCATTCCCAACTCAAAGGCCATGGACAATCTCTTGACAGCTTTCTGACACCAAGACCTGGCTGCACTGCAAGGTGGTTGCAACGAGCAGATCCTGTGATGAGCAGCCTCTCCCAAGCAGCAACGCAGGTCCGCACCTGGAATACGCTTCTCCCATGCCTGACAGGCCGTCATGGTCATTCAGCTCATGCCCATCTCGTCCTCTCACGTAAAACTTCTATGCATTGGGCAGGGAAAGGGGATGTCTCTGATCCCCTGACTCATTTGTCCCAGCTCCATCAGTGTCACTTACGCATGGAGGGGCTCCCAGCTCAGGCCTGTGATCCACTTGCTGTGGCCAGCGAGGGTCCTGCCCACCTGCTTCCCTGTGCTTGGGTCCCAGAGGAGAATCTGAAGGACAGAAGTTCACTGAATAATCCTCCCCAACAGGTCTCTGGCTCCACCAAAAATCCCTGCCTACCACTTCCAACCCAACCCTCCCCGAAGACTCCTGAACCTGATTCTGAACTGTCCCCTAGGGAAGCTGCCCTTGAGTCTCTGCCTAGTTAACCTGAGCACCACCTACCTGGCCATTCTTGCAGCCTGAGGCCAGCTTCTTGCCATCTGGAGACCACGATATACTAAGGACCCAGTGTCTGTGTCCTAAGAAAGCAGAGAAGGGAGAAATAAGGGACTACATCTGTCTTTATTCCCAGTGCCCAGCGGTGCCTGGCAGGTGCCAGGTACTCCTTAGTCATTTGAATAAATGAATGATCGAACAAAAGGAGCGATGAGGCTTTCTGGGGATGGAGAGAATGCAACCCAAGTGTTAGAGCTCTGCATCTTGCTGCATGGATAACACCATCACTCTCTAATGATTCCTTATGTGACACATACTATGAAGTGTTTTCGTACATGTCATCCCTTGTTATTCTCGCAAGGGTTCTAAGGTATGGAGCAAAGCAAGAAGTATCATCCCCATTTTCCAGACCAGAAGACTGAAGCTTAGAAAGGGCACATGCCCTACACACACAAGTTCACTCAACCAATCTGGTATAGCAGTGGTTCTTCAAGTGTGGTCCCGAGAGCAGCATTATCAGCATCTCCTGGGAACTTGTTAGAAACACAAATTCCCAGGCCCTAACCCAGGCCCAGTAGAACCAAAACTCTGGGGGTGGGACCCGGCAATCTGTATTTTTTTTGTTTTCTTCTTTTTTTTTTTTTAACGGAGTCCCACTCTGTCGCCCAGGCTGGTGTGCAGTGGTGTCATCTCGGCTCACTGCAACCTCCACCTCCTAGATTCAAGCAATTCTTCTGCCTCAGCCTCCCGAGTAGCTGGGATTACAAGCACATGCCACCATGCCTGGCTAATTTTTGTAGTTTTAGTAGAAATGGGGTTTCACTGTCAGGCTGGTCTCGAACTCCTGACCTCAAGTGATCTGCCTGCCTTGGCCTCCCAAAGTGCTGGGATTACAGATATGAGCCACCACGCCTGGCCAGCAATCTGTATTTTTTGTTTTTTTGAGACGGAGTCTCACACTCTCACCCAGGCTGCAGTGCACTGGCGCCATCTCGGCTCACTGCAAACTCCGCCTCCCAGGATCACGACATTCTGCCTCAGCCTCCCAAGTAGCTGGGACTACAGGCGCCCGACACCACACCCGGCTCATTTTTTGTATTTTTAGTAGAGACAGCATTTCACCGTGTGAGCCAGGATGGTCTCAATCTCCTGACCTTGTGATCTGCACGACTCAGCCTCCCAAAGTGCTGGGATTACAGGCGTGAGCCACTGTGCCCGGCCAGCAATCTGTATTTTAACAAGCCCCTAAGGTGAGGCGATTCTGATTTGTGCTCAAGTTTGAAAACCACTGTGGCAGAGGCAGGATTTAAATTAGGTTCTCCTTGCTACCAGTCAGTCAGCCTTTCCCCACGTCCCATATCGACTCCTTGGTGCAGTTTCTGCTTGTGTCTAAGTGGCTGGCTGCGCTCAAGGACATGGTCTCTACCTAGGAACAGACAGCCACCAACTGGATATTAAGCGGTTGTAATCTGCAAAGTGAGACCCTCATCTCTATGAAAACAAAAAACGAGCCAGGTGTGGTGGCAAGTGCCTGTCGTCCCAGCTACTCTGGAGCCTGAAGTAGGGGGACTGCTTGAGCCCAGGAGTTCAAGTTAGCTATGACTGCACCACTGTACTCCATCCTGGTCGACAGAGCAAGACCCTGTCTCAAAAAAGAAAGAAGATCCCCTAAATGGCTAATTGCATACTGACCCTTGCATGTGAAATGTGGTGTCTCCGTGCTGAGATCCCAGAAGCGCACGGTGGTGTCACCAGAGCCACTGGCCAGGTACCTGGGGGAAGAACAGAGGATGCTTGATACTGCATATGTGCATTCCTGCCACCTATTCAATCACTTTCTGTGAACAGAATATGGAACTGGACTCTTTCCTCGACCCTGAAAAGGAGAAAGACAATAATGATGCCGCCCTCTGGGAGAATACCCCAGGAGGCCATTTCTGTCCTCTCCACAGCTATAACCAGCTTTTGAAGTTCTCATTGCCTTCCTAAGTTTGAGATAAGCAACTAATCCCGGTTTCACAGATGAAAAATTAACTCAGAAAGGTTAAGTGATTTATACAAGTCACACAGCTCAGATCTTGAGAAATCAAGTCCAGGAAAGGTTTGTCCAAGGCAGGGGTCCTTAGCCTTTGGGGACCACGCCCTACTGAGGAAGTCCCTTAATGGCAAGCTGAGTCCAGAGCTTGGGTCAATGGTAAGCAGCCCTTAGGCCCCATCCGTTACAACTCTGGGGGACCCTCCCCACACCAGGCAGAGGCTGCACCCCCACATACCCCCTCCATGAGTCTGCAGCTGTCCTTACTTTCCCGTGGGGCTGAAGGCCACAGAAATGACTGCCTCACTGTGACCATCCAAGGAGCTGGTGCAGCGAGTCACGGCCCGGACTCTGAAGACAGCCTGTGGCTGGTAGATGATGTCTAGGACCTTCTCAGTCTCCACTGCCTGGGACTCCAACGTCTTCCCCAGTGAGGAGACGATCTCAGCATCGTGGACAAAGAAAGCCAGTGGCAGGGGATCCTCCTGAAGGACAATGGTAAAGGGCAACCCTTCATCAAAGGATGTGCAGGGGCACCCTCTGCCGGGGATGCTCCCTGCTGAGCTGTGGGAGGTGAAGCTTCTTCTTTTCAGCCACTGTGCTAGGGACACCCCCATCATTGCCCATTGAGCAAGACCTTTTATTTATTTATTTTTGAGACAAGAGTCTCACTCCGTCACCCAGGCTGGAGTGCAGTGGTGCAATCTCTACTCACTGCAACCTCTGCCTCCTGGGTTTAAGAGTCTCCTGCCTCAGCCTCCCGAGTAGCTGGGATTACAAGCGCCCGTCACCACGCCCGGCTGTTTTACATTTTTAGTAGATACAGGGTTTCACTACATTGGCCAGGCTGGTCTCAAACTCGTGACTTCAGGTGATCCACCTGCCTCGGCCTCCCAAAGTGCTGGGATTACAGGTGTAAGCCACTGTGCCCAGCCGAGCAAGACCTTTTAAATCACTAAACAGCAGTTGTAGGACACTTACACAGCACTCCGAAACTCTTTTTTCTTTTTGTGTTTGAGATGGAGTCTCGCTCTGTTGCCCAGGCTGGAGTGCAGTGGTGAAATCTCAGCTCACTGCAACCTCCACCTCCTGGGTTCAAGCAATTCTCCTGCTTCAGTCTCCTGAGGAACTGGGACTACAGGCGCCTGCCACCACGCCCGGCTAAGTTTTGTATTTTCAGTAGAGACTGTTTTCGCTATATTGGCTAAGCTGGTCTCGAACTCCTGACCTCTAGTGATCTGCCGACCTTAGCTTCCCAAAGTGCTGGGATTATAGGCATGAGCCACCGCACCCCGCCTGAAATTCTTTATCTGCATCTCATAACAACCCTGGGAAGTAGATACTAATATTCCTACTGACAGTTTCAAAAGCAGAGGCTCAGAACAACTAAGTAATTTGTTCGATGTCCCATTGCCAATGATTAATTCAGGTTCTTTAGGTCCAAGATAGGATTAACATATAGCATTATGCAGTGTTTCCCAAACTACCACACCACACTGTATTTCTGTAAAAAGCACCCAAAAAGCCTGTTAAAAAAATGTAGACTTTCTACTTCATCCTAGAGTTTGGTTTAGTAAGCCTGGGACGGGGTCCAGGAACTGCAATTTTAAGGACCTTTTCTGTCCCCAGGGCAGCTCTTCAGTAAACACACTGGCTTAAAGTTTAAAAGCAAAGGCCTGGCGCGGCGGCTTACGCCAGTAATCCCCAGCACTTTGGAGGCCAAGGCGGGCAGATCACGAGGTCAAAAGATGGAGACCATCCTGGCCAACGTGGTGAAACCCCCGTCTCTACCAATTAGCTGGGCGTGGTGGCGCGCACCTGTGGTCCCAGCTACTTGGGAGGCTGAGGCAGGAGAATCGCTTGAACCCGGAAGGCAGAGATTGCAGTGAGCCGAGATCACACCACTGCACTCCAGCTTGCCAGCCTAGCAACAGAGCGAGACTCCGTCTCAAAAAAAAAAAAAAAAAAAAAAAAAGGCAGGGGTACTCAGATAGTTTTGGGTTCCAATTCCAACTCTGCTACCTACTACATAGTATCGTGCAAATAATTGAGTCCCTCCAGGCCACGCTGTAAAATGGAGATATTAACGTGCCCCATCTTGGGGGACTGTGACAAGGAATCAATGAAATACAGTATCCAATGCGTTCAAAGCTAGGCCCGTCTCCACAGGTGGACGCCGATGGTTGGCGTGTAAAGCGCTTTGCCACAGATTCCATCTCTGACATAGGTGGGAACTCACGCCGGGTGGGTCACCACAGACCGTTAGCGGGGGGACCGTGAACCGCAGACCCTCGGTCATCTGATTCCCCCACCGCACCCGCCCGGGGGTGGAGATGCGAGACCGCCCTGGCAGCCGCTCACCTGGGCCAGTAGCGCGTTGCACACGAGCTGCAGCCTGTCCGGGGTGATGTCCACGGGCACGTCGAACGGGGAGCCCAGCAGCTGCCCGCCCTCATCCTGGAACTGCACTAGCAACCGCTGCACATCGCGCGCCACCGACTCGTCCTGCGCGAGAAAGCGGGGCGGGAGTCAGTCTCGTCGCCCGCCCGGAAGAGCCCCACTTCGTTTCCCTCCGGCCTCAGGGACCCGGGCCCTAGCGCCGCGACGCCCCCCGCCCCCATCCAAGCACACCCACCGCCACTGCCGCCGCCATCCTGCGTACCCACGTGGAGGAGAAAGAGCCCGGCAGACAGAGCGCCATCTCCGTGGTCGGGCGGGGTAGCCGCCGGCCACATCGCCCTCTGCTGTTGGGGAGGAGAAGCGTCCCGCTGCGCACGCCTCAGGGATTAGAAATGGGTTTACCTGGTGCTCCTCCCGCCCCTCAGCAGCCTTCACATTTATTTTTTCACAGGGTCTTAGAGGACACAGCCAACTTTTGACTCTTCACAACAGGGATTCTAGTCCCATTTTAATTTTATTTTATTTTGAAACAAAGTTTCACTCCTTTGCCCAGACTGGAGGGCAGTGGCGCCATCATGGCTCACTGCAGTCTCAAACTTTCGGACCCAGGGATCCTCCCACCTCAGCCTCCCGCGTAGCCTGGAGTACAGGCACACGACACCCTGCCCGGTTATTTTTCTTCATTTTTTTAGAGACGAGTTCTCACTACGTTGCCCGGGCTGGTCTCAAACTCCTGAACTCAGGCAGAGACTCCCCAACTCCCCAGCCTCAGCATCCCAAGGTGCTGGGATTACAAGTGTGAGCCACCACGCCTGGCCTAGAAATTAGTATCCTTTTAAAAAATGGGTCAAGTTAAGGCTGGGCGTGGTGGCTCACGCCTGTAATCCCGGCACTTTGAGAGGCCGTGGGGAGCCGATCACTTGAGTCCAGGAGTTCGAGACCAGCCTGGCCAACATGGTGAAACCAGGTCTCTACTAAAAATACAAAAAGATTAACCAGGCGTGGTGGCATGCACCTATGGTCCTAGCTACTTGAGAGGCTGAGGTGGTAGATCCGCTTGAACCCAGGTGGCAGAAGTTGCAGTAAGCCAAACTCTTACCACTGCATTCCAGCCTGGATGACAGAGCAAGACTCTGTCTCAGTAAATAAATAAATAAATAAATAAATAAATAAATAAATAAAATGGATCAACTCAATTAATACTTGAGTACAAAAGCAAACCATTTCTACAGTCATCAACCCTGTAAAGCAATAACAGTGATAATGACATCAACGAATCAGGAATTGTTCTAAGTGCTTTTTCCACATAGCTCATTTAATTCTTGTAACCCTTTTCTCCCTATATTACAGATAAAGAACTTATCTGTAATGAACTTATCAGCAATGAACTTGAGCTCTCTTGCCTGAAACGAAGGATCTCCCTTGCCAACTCTCCTCTCTCTCCCTCTACTGCTCGGAAGTCTCAAGCTCTGCCAAGTCATCCTCATGAACACAGCTTGGATCTGCTCTCCCCATCTCCACCGCCCCATTCTGGGCCGAGTCCCCATCATCACCTGCCTGGACCACTATAACAGCCTCCCGATGAACCCTCCTGTCTCCATTCCTGCCTCTTTCCACCCATTCTCCACGATGCAGCCAGGGTTATCTTTTCAGATAAAAAATCTGGCCTGTTGCTCTTCACCCTCAAACCCCGCAATGGCTCCCTTACGTGCAGGAAAAAAGAAAACTCCTTATAATGGTCCATTCAGCCTTGCTACATCCAGCCACCCCTCTCTTTAGGTTACATCTTGCTGGCTTTTTCTGAGTTCTTACAAGGCACAGCTCTTCCTGCATCAGTGATTTTGCACGTGCAGTTTTTTCTGTCTGGAACGGTGATGGAGTGAATTGTGCCCTTTCCCTAATTCAAGCTTATCCAACCCCTGGCCCATAGGCTGCATGCAGCCCAGGACGGCTCTGAATGTAGCCCAACACAAATTCATAAGCTTTCATAAAACATGATGAGATTTTCTTTCGATTTTTTTTTCAGCTCATCAGCTTTCATTAGTGTATTTTATGTGTGGCCCAAGGCAATTCTTTTTCCGATGTGACCCAGGAAAGCCAAAAGATTGGACACCTCTGCCCTAATTTATATCCTGAAGCCCTAGCTCCGAATGTGGCTGTATTTGGATATAGGCTCTATTATTATTATTATTATTATTATTATTTATTTTTTAGAGACAGGGTCTCACTCTGTTGCTCAGACTAGAGTGTAGTAGTGTGATCATAGCTCACACAGCTTCAAACTCCCAGGCTCAAGTACTCTTCTTACCTCAGTGTTCTGAGTAGCTAGGACAACAGGTGTGTGCCACTGTACCTGACACTCGGTTAACTTTTTAAAATTTTTGTAGAGACAAGACTGTCACTATGTTGCCTAAGCTGGTCTCGAACTCTTGGCCTCAAATGATCTTCCTGTCTTAGGCCTTCCAAAGTGCTGGGATTACAGGCGTGAGCCACCATGCCTGGCCTGGAGATGGGTCCTGTAAGGACATAATAAAGGCTAATAAGTGAGTTTGTATGGGTAGGACCCTAATCAAATAGAACTGGTGCCCTTGTGAAAAGAGGAAGAGACTCCAGAGTGCTCTCTCTCTGTCCCTCCCACCCCCACTGCCTCCCTGAGCACACACAAAGATGAGGCCACAGGAGGACACAGGGAGAAGGTGGCTGTTTGCATCCAGGAAGAGAGGCCTCATCAGAAACCAACCCTTATGGTACCTTGACCTTGGATTTCTTTACTCCAGAGCTGTGAGAAAATAAATTTCTGTTGTTGAAGCCTCCTGGTCTGTGCTATTTTATTATGGCAGCCAGAACAGACTAATACAGGAACAGTTCCTCGTTATTTAGGTCTTGCCTTGAATATTTATTCATTCATCCAATAAATGTATTGAGCATCTACTCTCTGCCAGACATTTTTATAGGAGTTCTGTGTATACTAACTCATTTATCACTTACACAGGGAAACCTTTGAAATGATGTCATACTTCCCTGTTGTATGTTTTCAAAACATCCTGGTATCCCTCATATTTAGAAAGCACAGATCCAGCTGGGCACAGTGGCTCACGCCTGTAATCTCAGTACTTTGGGAGGCCGAAGTGGGAGTATCACTTGAGCCCGGGAGTTTCAGACCAGACTGGACAACATAGTGAGATCTTGTCTCTACAAAAAAATTTTAAAAATAGCCAGGTGGCATGCACCTGTAGTCCCAGCTACTCAGGAGGCTCAGATGGGTGAATTGCTTGAACCTAACCTGGCAGGTCAAGACTGCAGTCATCCATGATCATGCCACTGCATCCCACTTGTGACAGTGAGACCCTGTCTCAAAAAAAAAAAAAAAAAAAAAAAAAAAAAAAAAGAAATCACAGAATCACAGATCCATGGAATTATTTCATTCATTCATTCAACAAATAACATTGAGCACCTTCTTTTTCTTTTTTTATTCTTTTTTGAGACGGAATCTTGCTCTGTCGCCAAGATCTTGGCTCACTGTAACCTCCATCTCTGGGGTTCAAGCATGAGCCACTGTGCCCCACACCATTACAAATGCTTGGAATATGTGAGGGAACAACATAGACACAAATCCTTGCCCTCATGAGTGTTCTATGCTTCACAATTCCTTGCACATAATAAATGTTTAAGAAATGTGGGCCAGGTGCGGTGGCTCACGCCTGTAATCCCAGCACTTTGAGAGGCCTAGGCAGACAGATCACGAGGTCAGGAGTTCAAGACCAGCCTGGCCAACATGGCGAAACCCTGTCTCTACTAAAAATACAAAAATTAGCTGGGCGTGGTGGCACGCACCTGTAGTCCCAGCTTCTTGGGAGGCTGAGGCAGGAGAATTGCTTGAACCCGGGAGGTGGAGGTTGCAGTGAGCTGAGATTGTGCCATGCACTCCAGCCTGGGCAACAGAGGAAGACTCCGTCAAAAAAAAAAAAAAAAAAAAAAAGGAAAAAGGAAAAAAAAAAAAGAAATGAGACTGGGAGGTATGTTGGCTCACGCCTGTAATCCCAACACTTTGGGAGGCCAAGGTGGGCAGATCACAAGGTCAGGAGTTTGAGACCAGCCTGCCCAACATGGTGAAAACCTGTCTCTACTAAAAATACAAAAATTGGCTGGGTGTGGTGGCACGTGCCTGTAATCCCAGCTACTCGGGAGGCTGAGGCAGGAGAATTGCTTGAACCCAGGAGGCGGAGGTTGCAGTGAGCCGAGATTGTGCCATGCATTCCAGCCTGGGTGACAGAGGAAGACTCTGTCTCAAAAAAAAAAAAAAAAAGAAAAGAAAAAGAAAAAAAAAAAAGAAATGAGACTAGGAGGTATGGTGGCTCACGCCTGTAATCCCAGCACTTTGGGAGGCCAAGGCGGGCAGATCACTTGAGGTCAGGAGTTTGAGAGCAGCCTGCCCAACATGGTGAAATCCTATCTCTACTAAAAATACAGAAATTAGTTAGGCGTGGTGGTGGATGCCTGTAATCCCAGCTACTCATGAGGCTGAGGCAGGAGAATCTCTTGAACCCGGAAGGTGGAGGTTGCAGTGAGTCGAGATCACGCCACTGCACTCCAGCCTGGGCAACAGAGCAAGACTCTGTCTCAAACAACAGCAACAACAACAAAAAAGATGTTAAGAAATGCTTGTGGAATGAATTTCTGAATCAGTATTTGAATATAAGTTCCCTTGGACCTAAAGTCACAGAACTGCAGGTCTCTGCCAATGTCAGGATCCCTTATCCTATTACCTCATTGCTGCAGAGAGCTTGCCCCACGAAGGGGCCCAGGGCTTGCCGTAACATGAAGGCAGGAAATTCATCCATCTATTCATTCATTTATTTGCTCATTCAACAAACATGTGTTAGGGCTGGGCTTTGTGTCCAGCAGGGCAGTAGAACTTGTCCAAGGTCACAAAGCTGTGTGTCCAAGGTCGCAGGTCTGGGAATAGAATCTAGTGTCAGTGATTCCACCTGGGATTTTCTTCAGACCAGTCTTTCTCAGCTCTGGTCAGGTAAGTTTGAAGATATGTGTGGGGTGGAGGGGAGAGGGACGAGAGATGAGTGCAGGAAATCATCAGCATGAAGACACCACTCGTTCATTCATTCATCCATTCGTTCCATTCAGGAAACACACTTTGGACACCAACTGTGCCAGAACCTGTGCAGGAAGGGGGTTGGGGGACAAGCTACATGGGATGCTGTATTTACCTTCCAGGAGGGAGCTCACAGCCCAGGCTTCGGGGCACTGAAAGGCAG